GAAAGAAGGCTTGGGTCTAATTCATTTGGCCAGGACCCACGTGTTGTGATTTTGGGGTCCCAGCACTCCTAAACCCCTAAGTCTCAAGTCACATCCTGCATTCTGTTTGCATTTTGTTTTTCATCTCTTCAGGGTACAGATGATGCCTGTTCCAACTTCACCCCTATTTAACCTTCAAGTTCAAAGTTTGAGCTCTAAAGGGGATACCCACTGAAAAGAAATCGAGGTAAAGCAGGGGTCAGGGCAGTGGTTGAAATAAGAGATGTTGTCATATAACAAGATAAGGTCAAATTTTAGCCGTTTCATCAATTGGGGAATGACTTTACAAGTTGCAGTATATGATTGTGATGGAATACTATTGTTCTATAAGAAATGATGAGCAGGATACTTTCAGAAAAACTAGGAAAGACTTACATGAACTGATGCAAAGTGAAATGAGTAAAACCAGAGGAACATTCTAAGCACTAACAGCAATATTGTATGATGATCAACTGTGATTGACTTGGCTATTCTCAGCAATACAATGATCCAAGACAGGATTTATGATGAAAAATGCTATCTATCTCCAGAGAAAGAACTGAGTCTGAATGCAGACTGAAGCATACTTTTTTTTAACTTTATTTTTCTTGGGTTTTTTTTTTTGCTTGTATTTTCCTTCACAACATGACTAACACAGAAATATGTTTTGCATGACTACGCATGTATAAACTATATCAAATTGCTTTCCTTCTCAATGAGGAGGGAGGGGAGAGAGTGAGAGAGAGAATCTAGAACTCAAAATTTTAAAAAACAAATGTTCAAAATTGTTTTTACATGTAAGTGGGGAAAAATAAAATATTAAATAATTTTTAAAAGATTAGGGGGTGTGGTCAGGGCAGTGCTGAGAGTAGTCAGGCAACTGGATCCTGGACAAAGATGAGAGAAGAGGAAGTGGCGATAAGTGAGAGTCAGAACTTTGATGAAGTAAGGGGAAGTGGAGTTAAGGGGACCAGCATGAAGCAAGAGAAGTTTACATTATGGGAAAGTCAGGGTAAGGCTGAAAGGATGGAAAATTGACATAAGGTGGGGTTCAAGGTTGTGCCCAGATTAAGGTGTAGTTTGGGTTCAGGACTGGATCACAGCTAAGAAGGGATTGGGTTTAGGTAAAGATAGAAGAATACAGGTAACATTTATACATTAAGGTTTGCAAAGAACTCTACAATGTTATCTCATTTAATCCTATTAGTATGCCCATTTTTACAGATGAGGAAACTGAGGCAAATAGGTTAAGTAACTTGTCCAGGGTCATACAAAACTAGTAAGTGTCTGGCAGTGATGTAGTGATGGGACTGGGACCCTGAATTTTCCCACACATTTCAGCAACCCAGTCCCTGATGTTTTGCCTGAGGTATCAGGCCCATCCCCAACCCACCTATACAGTGAGTATTTAGTGATTAGTTAAAGGGATTAGTGAAATCCTTTAAACTACCCTTTCACTGTGGCTCTCCACCACTTAACTCCTTTCACTGTCTACACCTGGCCCAACCCAGGCTATTTGCCACTCCTTAATCCCATCCAGATCTTCTCACTGTCTTTTCTTTGTATATAAGTACTAATCTTACCCCCATTAAATTGCTCAGATTCACTTAGAATCTACCAGCTTCTGTTGGCTCCATACTTTGACTGAAAGAAGGCTTGAATGGTCAAATTCTTTTGAGGCAGACTATCTGTACTCTTACATTTTGGGGTTTCCAGCACCCCAAACCATAACAGCAAGATTTGAAATCTGGGTAGATCAGGGTGAGCTGAAGCAAGGAGAGAGGAGTGAAGTAAAGATGGTCAGGGGCTTGGGCTAAGTTTAAGTCGGGGAGGGGTGATTCAGCACAGGACTAAGGAGATGGAGTGAGTCAGGGTGGTGCTGAGGTTGTACAGGTTGAGACAAAAAAGGGCTGAGTTCAGATCAGAATCATAGACTCCAAATGATGGGTTTAGGAGTTCAGGGGTGCTGGAACCCCAAAATTACAACATAAGGGTCCTGTCTGAGAGAATTCAACCCAAGCCTTCTGTCAGCCAAAGACAAGGTTCATTAGTACATCGTCATATTAGGCAGACTCTTAAGGCGTCTGAACATTAGTAAGCTATTGGCTAGATTATAAGAATCCCTGCAGTGACTAGATTATAACAATCCTGCCTTAATGGAGACAAGGTGGACCTTATATACAGAAAGACTATGGGAGGGACCTGGGAGTGGCAAGTAAGCTAGGGTGAACAGAACTCCCTGGACCTGGACTTAGTGGCCAAGGGAGAATGGAGCCCAGCTAGGATTAAGGGTGGGAAATGGCCGGGGCCATACATAGGGAGGTAATATAATGGAGGGGAGATTGGGTGTAGCCACAATGAAAGGCCAGTTGATGGGATTATAGTCTCAGGTGATTTGGCCATGTGGGAAAGTCCAGGATTTCCTTTTTGGGGTCTAGATCCCAACCCCATCACAAGGACTAGAAGGGACCTTTGAAATCCAAAGTTCAAGGCACCCATGAGCAAGAATCCCATCTACCACACCACACACACATGATCTCAGCTTTTCTTTCAAGTCCCACTTCCTACAGGAAATCTTTCCCAAGCCCTCTTAATTCCAGTGCCTTCCCATGGTGGTCAGAAAAAGCTATGCAAGGACACTTTCAAGGTCTCTTTGGAATTGATTACATGACATGGCAGACACTGGCACAGGACCGCCCAGCATGGCGTGCCCACATCAGAAAAGGCACTGTGCTCTATGAGCAAAGCAGAATTGAGGTAGCTCAAGAGAAACGTGAGATATGCAAACTTAAGAGAATCCACCCCAAATGCTCACATGGACTATTTGTGCCCAATCTGTGGTAGAGCATTCCTGGCTCACATTGGTCTGATCAACCACAGTCGGGATGCACTGTAACTTGACCTAGCATAGTGATGTCATTTTGGTCCCCTTTAAGAACAAAGGGCAACAGCCAGCCATTTATCCTGTCTATTGCTTCTTTGTCCCTCATTGTTTACACCTTGGCTCTTCCATTAGATTGAGTTCTTTGAAGAAAGGGAGTGTCTTCTGCCTTTCTTTGTATCCCCAGAACTTATCACAGCACCTGATACATAGTAAGGTACTGAGAGAAATGATTATTAATAACCAATGATTTGGGGAGATCCAGATTTTCCCTTTTTTCTATAGTCCTCATATCAATGGTCAGTGTCTGTAAGGACATTACTGATAAGGAGATCAAATTAACTCTCCTCAATCTTGATCAGACTCCACCCAACCTTACCAGGAGGAATTTAATTGCATTATATTCTACTTAGGTTTGGATGGGGATAAATTCTTCGATAGATTGCCCCAGGATGTGAGTAATTTAAAAATTACATAATTAAAGTTCATTAGAATAGGTTGTAATGAACATTGTAATGTTCATTCTCTCATTACTTGTTAAACAATCAGAGTTATTTGCTCACTCTTCCAAAGCAATATAAGCCTTGAGCCTGTCACCATGAAGGTCTTTGGCATTCAAGAGTGCCACAAACCTCTTTTCTTAATAACATGCTAGCCGTTATTAATAAAATTATTAAATTACTCAGAAACTACTCTCCCAACTTTTTAAAACATCACAGTACTTAATAAATATTTCTTGACTGTTTTGAAGACCTCCAGGGATGGCAGGCTTATGATCTACTTTGGAGCAATTGTAAGACTTTTCTTTAAAGCTAGCCAAAAATCTACATTACAACTTATAACCACTGTTCCTCTGAGATCAAGTAGACCAAGTCTAATCCTTTTTCCTAGGGAAGACGCCTTCAAAAAGAGTGATTCCCTCACCCCCACAATTTTTTTCCTGGGCCAAATCAGGGTTGAAGTAAGTGAGGGAAAGGGGATTAAGGCCTGATTGTTGTTTGAGATAGCTGAAGTCATGGAGGTCAGAATGCCACTTAGAGTGGGTGAGAAGTTGAAGTTGTGAGGGAGGTCAGACCATGTCATGTCTGAGAAAAAGGGTTTGCTTTATGTGCCTTACAATGTATGAAGCACTTTCTTTACCACCACCCTGTGGGATAGGTGAGATAATTTTACAGATAAAGAAGAGATCCTGAAAGACTAAGGGACTTGCCCAGGATGGCACAGTGAGGGGCCATAGCAGGCTAGGTACATAGTAGTGATGGGGTGATGGGACCTGGACCCTAAAAGGAATATCTTTGAAATCAACCCAGTCCCTGAATTTTCCCACACATTTCAGCAGCCCAGTTCACTGAGGTCTTCCTGAGGTATTTGGCCCACCCCAGCCCGACTTAGGTCACTTAATTAGCTTACTTGACAGTCTTTTCACAGTCCTCTTGGAAAAAGGCAGCTACATGGAGCCTGGAATCAGAAAGACCCGAGTTCAAATCTGACCTCAGACATAAGCTATGTGACCCTGGACAGGTTGCTTAACCTCTATTTGCCTCAGTTTCCTCAAATATAAAACAGGGATAACCATAGCACCTATTTCCCACAGTCGTTTTGAGGATCAAATGAGATATTTGTGAAATCTTTAGCACAGTAGGTATTTAATGTTTATTTCCTTTCCTTCCTTATCTATAAGAGGGTTAGATTCAATGTCCTCTAAAGTCCTCTTTCACACCTAAATCTATAAATTCAATGTCCTTTAAGATCCTCTTTCATGTCTAAATCTATGAATTTATATCTATGAGTTTATAGTCCTACCCAGCAGATACTACCAGGACTGACTACAATAGGAAAAAGTACTGGGATTGGAGTCAGGGGATCCGAATCAGAACCCCAGCTTAGGCCTAAGCTATGATTCCATCCATGTCCCTTAGCCTAGGAAGCACTTGCTCTATATCTACCCAACGGAGTCATGGGAATAACTTGAAAAACGGCCCCCGATTCCCATGGGGGAACCCTCATGTTGGATGCAACCTTACCTGGAATCAGGGGAATGGATTCACTGACCTCACAGGGTCTTCTCTAGGCCTATGCCCCTAGTACTAAGGGAGAAGGGCCCAAGTTTTCTGCAGTGGGAATGTCCCTTGTGCATGGAAGGTGGTCTGGACACCAAGGCTGGTTAGAACAAATGCCCCACCTCTCACAAAATACTGTTTATTGAGTTCCACTTATGTGGGGCCAGAGGAGGTCTGAGAGTTGGGGGAACATAGCGGAGATAACATAGTGGAGGTAACATCGACACCCTCTTGGCCAGGCTTCTCCCTCCCTGGCTCTGTGGTCCTTTGGGCTGAAGAGGAACAGAAGGCTACCTCATCCTTTGGACCTTTCCTTCCCCAGGTGTGACCTGAGGAGGACTCCTTGGCAGGAGGGAGAGGAAGGCTCTAGACAGGTGCTGGGAATGGCTTGCCTTTTCTTTCTTTGCCCCTTTCAGGCTGTCAGGACAGGCCACCCCAGCAGTTTTTGGAGAGGCCATCCCCATCTCCTGTTGCTCTAGGTCTTCTGAGCTGAGTTTTTAAAGGCAGCTGCAACTGCATCCTCATTACCTTGAGGCTCTCTCCTTTCTGAACCAGGGATGTTAGTAGCCTCTTGATCCTTCCCCTCCTTTCGCAGCCTTGGCCCCAACTTTGGACCTTGGTCAGCGGTAGCCGGCAGAGACTCCGGGGAAAAGGCAGCTCTCAGGGTCTTCTCTTAGTTCTCCCTTTTCCCATGCTGCTTTGTCTCAGTACTGGTCTTTCTAGTCCAGTGATGATGCTAGTGTCTTTTTCCTCCACTGGGAAGCTAGATCCCTAAGAGCAGAACAGAACCCAGCAGAGAGGAGCCAGGTTCCTTCAGGAAGTAAACAATTGCTTCAGGATAGCTCCCCTGCCCTGAGATATGCAAGGCAGCCCCTCATTTCAAACCGTAGTCCATCATGTCCCCTCTCTATAATCAGGTTCAGTGGGAGAGGGTCTTCTGGTTAGAGGGGAAGCATAAGCAGAAGTCTAGGCTCAGTGTTCTAACTGCACTGATGAGCAGTAGAAGGGGGAGGTCACAGCACTGAGGGCTACTGACTTAATCCTGGGGAAATGTCATCTCTAGGAAGCTGCCTGGCCCGAGTGCTTCTGGCTGGGAAGACTCCTCCCCCCGTGGTGCCATCGCCGCAGGACTTTGGGACTGGTGGCCCCCAGCTCTTTGTCAGGCTTTTCCGGGGCATGGTGCCTCTTGGGAGCTCGGCTGGAAACCGGTTTCTCTGCTTCTGCCTTTTCCAAGGAGGCCACAGGAGCATCCCCATATGCCCGGTAACCACCAACTAGGCAGTAAGTCTCCCCATGCCAGCCCACCTGAGTCTCTCCACAACCTCGGTAGAGGACATGGTAGTGACCAGGTGTAGGGGGAGAAGTGGGAGCTGCAGCTGCTGAGAAAGAAATTAGAACAAATTAGAAATTGCTGCCTAACACTACAGGTTTGCAATTCAATTCAATAATTAAATACCGACTATATAACCAAGCATTGTGCTAGGTGCAGAGGATACAATGGCTACTATGAAATAATCCTTGCCTTCAAGAAGCTTCAATGGGGAAGAACAAGATGTACTGGGGTAAATATAAACCAGATTCTCCTTCCCCCCCCAAAAAAAAAGAGAGATAAGGAAACCCTAACAGCTCAGGGGATCAGAAAAGGATCCATGTAGGATTTGAGTTAAACTTGAAGGGAGAGAGGGATTCCATGCCTGGGGCTAGCCTGTTGGGAGCATCAGCTAGGCAGATGTGGGTGGAATGTGCGGTGAATGAGGAAAAAAAAAAACCAAAGACATGAAATCAGTCTAGATAAAGGAACTCTTAAAACCTTAGTCAATGCACTTATTCTAAAGATATTTTGCTAACTGCATTTTCATATAGTTCCCTCTGTAATCCTATGTGTTTTATGCATTTAGATCCATTACTCTGAAAAGAAAATTAGTCTGGCTATCCCAGAATTTCCAAAAGGATCCCCCCAAAAGTTAAGAATCCTTGGCTCTAGGAAGATTGAAGAGTTTTAGTGTCCAAATTGAGGACTTTACTTAAGTGCTCACTATATGCAAAAAACTGCTAAGCACTGGGGGGGAATTAAGAGTCCTTAGTTTCAAAGAGCTCACACACTAATATGGGGTGACAACACATATAGGAGGTGTCAGATGGAACATTCCAGTGGTCCTGGGGAGGAGGAGGAACAGAGACAAAGCTGAGCTTTAGGAATATCTATTTGGCAAAAGTGTAGAGGAAAGATTGGAGAAGAGACAAACTGGAGGTAAGAGACTAGCAGGCTATCAAAATATAGAAGACCTGAATCAAGATGGCGGCCCCATGAGTGGGGAGAAAAGACAGATGAGGGAGGTAGTGTGCAGAATTGACAAAGCTTGGCAACTCATTGAGTATGGAGTGGGAAGGGAAGGGAAGGTGAGCTGAGAATCAAGAGTTGAGAATGACTCCTAAAGGCATGCCTCCGGGTGATTAGAAGAATGGTGGTGCCTTTGATAGAAAAAGAGGCTAAGAGGAGGCGTGGGTTTAGGAGAAGAGATAATGACTTCTATTTTGGATATGTTGAGTCTGAGATGACTATGAGACGATCAGGCAGAGATGCCCAAGCGGGCAATTAGAGATGCTGGACTAGAACAAAAGAGAGAGGCAGTGTCCGGAGAGAAAAACTTGGTGGTCATCTGTAGAGAGAAGAGTCAAATCCATGGGATCTGGTGAAATCACCAAGAGAGAATGTAGAGAGAGAAGAGGAAGGGCATAGGACCGAACCATGAGACACATTGGAGGCATAGGGAGAGGGACACATATGATAATCCTGCAGAGGAGAGAAAGGAGGAGAGGAAAGGAGAGGAGAGAAAGGAAAGGAGGAGAGGAGTTACCCAACTGGAATTGGCCAGTTGGGTCCCCAGCGCAGCAGCTCGGAGTACTCACACGTCTCTGTTTGTCCTTCGTTCTCTGAGAAGAACAACGACATCAGGAAGATGATGTCTTGACTTGCAAGGGAATTGGATTCAAATGAGGGAGGGCTGTGCAAGGTCTCCTCCAGAGCCATCTTGGTCCAATGGCGAGATAAAGATCAGGAGACTGGGGATGGCCCCAGTGCACTGGGAGACCTTGGCCTTTTTAAGCTAAGGTCTTTCCCAGGTCTCAGTTTGACTGAGGCAACACCCATTCAGTGATTAAAGCTAGTAAAGAAGTGAAGCCTAGGAATGGCCCCTTCTATCTAATTTTAAAAAAATCAGTCTGAGAGAGGAAGACCCTCGGGGTTTCTGGACAAAATAGAAACAATTACTATTTACATTCACTCAGAGACATCTAGACCCAAATATTGACCACTAAATGGTACTTATGGCTGGGACCTACTGTTGGCCAATCAGGGAAAGCTTAAAGTGATTGGATTTAAAGGCACAGTCAAGTAGTCCATTTGAATCTCAATGGGCTTTTTTTTTTTATCAAAGCCTGATTTATCGCAGCTATATTTCAAGAAATCATGAATGAAAACTACATGGGACAAAAGAGTTAATTGTCCCAGTTTTTTTTTAAACAAACAAAAAACAATGACAGAATAGAGAAGAAAAAAGATCTAGCCCCCAATCCCAAGATATCTTTCCAAGTATAAGAGATCAAAACCACATGTAAGAATATGACTCTCCATATGGACAGAAGGAGAAAAGAAGGAAGGAGGAGACATGGAGGAGGAGGAAGAGCAAACACTTTAAAGGTATCCCAGCAAGAAACCATCCTCCCTACCTTACCCCCATTCCTAGATCCTATTCTTTGGAATGAATTAACATCTGTTCTAACCACACTAAATCTGAATTTTTCAAACTGAAGTTTATTAAATTAGAAAAAGACAAAACTTCTGAGACCAGAGGTACCAGAAGCTGTGGGTCCAAGGACATGATTGTCCTCTTCTCACCTGAAAGCTAACACTCTGTCTGGGGCCTCTTCTCTCTCTCTCTCTCTCTCTCTCTCTCTCTCTCTCTCTCTCTCTCTCTCTCTCTCTCTCTCTTTCTCTCTCTTTCTCTAATGTATGTATGTATGAATGTATCTTCCATTGGTGGTCCAATTAGCTTCCATAGATTCAATTATTATCTTCTATGCTGATGACCAAAATCTAAATATCTAGCCCATACCCCCTCTCTGCACTCCAGTCCAATATGCTCAGTCTCCTATCAGATATATCTGCCTAGTTGTCCCTTAGGTATCTCAAATTCAACATGTCTAAAATTTACCTGATTATCTTCTCCCCTTCCTCATTTCTATTTTCTACTGACTCCAAAACCCAGCCTTCCTTCAGTCGTTGCTATTTCTATGCATGGCACCACCATTTTCTAATCATCCAGTCCCTTTCCAGGCTTTACCAGTCCCCCTTCACTCTGAGATCATCTCCAGTTTATCCTGTACATATGTACACAGTTGTTGCATGTTATCTCCCCCATTAGATTGGGAGCTTCTTCAGGGTAGGCACTCTTATCTTTCTTTTAGCACAGTAAGCAGTTAATACATGCTTATTGATGTGGACTGACACTCAGGTTCACCACCCCAAACCCATCCTAGAGTCTTCTTCCTTCTCTTTCATTCCCCAAATTCTGTGAATCATACTGAACATCCCTCAGATCTATTCTCTTCTCTTCATTCTCATAGTCTCTAAAGTTGAGGCCCTCATCACCTCTCATCCTAATTGGTCTCCCAACTTCCAATTTCTTTCCCTCTCCAATCTATTTTCCACACAGCTGCCAAACTGATATACCTAAAATATAGATCTAAATTTCATTATGCTACTCAAAAATTATGGCTCCTTATTTCCCGGATAAAATACAGACTCCTCAGCCCGGCATCCAAAGCCCTGGGTCCCACCTACCTTTCTAATTTTACTTCATATTGATGGGGTTGGGATCTGTGCCCCAGAAAGGAAAAACCCTGGACTTTCCCACATGGCCAAATCTCTGGCATTAGCCTGAGGCCATAATCCCATCAACTGGCCTTTCATAGTGGCTACACCCAATCTCCCAGATCTCCCAGTTCTGTTACCTTTAACCTAGCCTGGCCTTCCTTTGTTTTACCTTCCTATGTATGGCCCCTGGCTATTTCCCACCCTTAATCCTAGTTAGGCTCCATTCTCTCTTGGCCATAAGGTCCAGATCCCAGGATTTCTGTTCACCCCAGCTTACTGACCACTCCTAGGTCCCTCCCACAGTCTTTCTGTATATAAGGTCCACCTTGTCTCCATTAAGAGACTTAGATTCTTAAAATCTAGCCACTGCTAGGATTCCTAAAATCTAGCCACTGCTTGCTTAGATTCTTATAATCTAGCCACTGCTTACTCATCGTCTGCCCAATATGACAATGTTCTAATAAACCTTGTCTTTGGCTGAAAGAAGGCTTGGGCGGAATTCTTTTGGACAGGACCCACATGTTGTGATTTTGGGGTCCCAATACCCCTGAACCGCTAAACCGCATCAATATTATCCCCTCCTTCCTGCAATTCCCCATTCCAGAGTGGCATGGTAGCTGTTCCCATCCACAAGATTCCATGTCCTGTCCCAATGCCTTTGTACTGGTGGTCCCCCATGTCTGGAATGCAGTGTCTCCTCACTGTGGACTCTTAGAATCCCCTAGCTCAGGGACCATCTTCTCCTCCAGTCTCTCCTGATCTATCTACCAGTTGTTAGAGCTCCCTCTCTCTTGAAATTCTTTTGTATTTTCTCCTTGTGTATATGGAATTTAATCTCCGTAAGGGCAGGGACCATTTTGTTTTGTTTTTGCACCTCCAGCAAGGACCTTTGTATGTAATAGGCACTTAACATTTATTGAACTAAGTAAGCCGAATCTCCAAGAGCAGACTCCTCCTGCCTTCTTCCATACCCCATCTGTCAGCATCACTTTCATTCTCTCTCTTGCGGGGTCCACTCTTCCTAGGGCTACCACTTCATCCTTTTTTCCACCCGTGTTCAGCTATTGAACATGGTGGTCCAAGATTGCTCCACCAATGTGGATGGTTCTCTCACAATCCCTCCAACCTCCACAGATTCAGCAGCCTGCCATCTAATTCACTCTGTGCATTACTTATTACTGGTCAACAAGACCAAAATTATTTTGCTCAAAAGGCTGACCTGGGGAAATATCTGTAGCATCAATGTATATACATAGTACTTCCAATAATTGACTCACTAATTCAAGTATCAGTGATCTCATCATCTTGCATGCTACCTCTACTGACCACAAACCTTCCACAACTTATCAGATGGATGGTCTTTGATGAGTTAATGTGGCTGAAAAAAATGAGCTTGGAGTCAACTTGAGCCTTTCTAAACTTCCCAAACGTCCCACAACTGATTAGATGGATGGTCTTTCATGAATTAATGTGGCTGAAAAAAATGAGCTTGGAGTCAACTTGAGCCTTTCTAAACTTCCCTAGTCTGGTTCTGGATGGACAGACTACACAGCCTATCATTGGCCTTACATCCAGTTTTTTCAGGTGGGTGGGATGGGCCAGAACTTGGACTCTACTGGCAATAGCTTTTGAGAACCTAGGGTTAGTTCTGAGGCACAAGGCACTGGCAGAGGACTTTTGTGGAGAATCTTCTCATATGGGAAACAGTACATCTAGTTACACCCCCACAGGCAGACGCTGGTGTATAGTTACTTCCTCTGTACATCAAGCCTACCTGCGGTACTGCCCTCCCAGGGAACAAAGGATAAGTTGGAGTGTATATAGAAGATCCGGTCAGACATTCTCACTCGGCTAACCAAACAGATTGGTATCTCTTTGAGAAATGGTAGGGAAAGATTCCCCCGGAGTGACCTGTTTATGTGCTTACCCCACCATGGAAACTGTTGGGTAGTGGGGGGCCTGTGAGGTAGTCACTGCCCTGTGAGGTCATCACTGCCACCGTGACGTCACATAAGGAATCTGTCTTAGGACAGCAAGAGTCTCCGTCTCTGAGTTTTCACATGGGGACAGTGAAAATTCTGCTTATAAACTGGGTTTTAAGCAGTATGGTAGGAGGGGAGTGGGGAGTGGCATTCCTTGGCCCTAACACACAGCCTCCCTCCCAACAAACATGTATTTACTAGGCATTTTTATGCCTAGCATTGTGCTAGGTGTGGTTGGAGATATGTAGGAAGTTCTTCTCTGTGAAGAATTGGAGAGATGACTTTTTTTTTTTTTGGAGAAGAGTCCAGATCTATGATTCAATTGGTGTGAGGAGTTTCCTCTGTCTCTGCAGATTTGCAGCTGTTATTTAAAATCTTAGAGAGCTGACCAGGATACCAAGAGGTTAAGTGACTCGCCATGGATGTCCCACAGCTAGGATGGGTTCCAAGCAGAGGTCTTCCTGACACAGGGGCTAGCTCACTTATTGACCACATCTGCTGCCTCTTGGAGACAAGACTAGCATGCATGAAAAAATTAGCGTGCTAAACTGCAAGGTATTAGGTGTTGGTAACATTCATAAAGGGAAAATATCTGTGGGCTGGGCTGGCCAGGGAGGGCTTCGGTGATAAAAGCAGGACTCTAAAAAGATGTAGGTTGGCAGGAAGGGGAAGACATTTCAGGTAGTGATGCTAAAGAAATGTTGAATCAACTATGAGTAGAGATAGTTCGGTGAGAATGTGCACAGCAAGTGAGGACTGTGAAGAGGACAGACAGCCTGACCAGAGTAGGAAAGGGCATATATTGGGGAATCCTGAATAGGATGGTACTTATTGGCCCATGAGTCCTTGGACCTGAGTATTCATGAGGGACAGCTTTCATCTAGTGGTTCAGAGGGCTTCGCCAGTCACTGCCATGATATACTCTGGCAGGTGACTCATCAAGATGCCCCCCTTAGACAAATGGAAGACACTGTGGGAAGAACATTGGCTTGGCAATCACGGCACCAGGGTTCAAATACTAGCTCTTTTACTGTGAGACCTTGGTAAAGTTGCTTTAAAATAACAAACATTTACCCTTAAACCTACTATGTGGACATTACTGCACCAGCAATACAATCTTTAATCCAAGAAACATTAAGTACCTACTATGTGCAAAGAATTGTGCTAGGCACTAAGGATACAAAGACAAAACAAAGTCCCCCGCCTTCATGGAGCTTACAGTCTAATGGTCTCATAAATGATAATTTGAGGAGGGAAAGGGCACTAACACTGAGGGAATCTATATACACTGAACTAATACAGGACAATCAATAAACATTTATAAAATAAAGTCCCTGGTGTTATAACACTTCTCAAATTGGAAATTTAGAGGGCACTCTGAAGTCTGAACAACAACAAAAAAGTCCTTCTAAGACCTGCATCATCTAAAAGGAGATTTTTAAAGCCCATTAACAATAATCACATTTACATAGCACTTTAACCTTTGCAAAGTTATTTTTGTTTATTAATAACTCATTTGAGCTGTGAAATAATCCTGTGAGGCAAAGACTAAAGATATTACTATACTGATTTTATAGAAAGAAAAAAATTTGAGGTTGAGAAAGGTTAAATGACTTATACCTAACTCATAAGTGTTAGAGAAGGGATTGAAATCTAGGTCTTCTTTTCCCTACATTTTTTGCATTCATTTTTACAAGATTTCCAGTTTCAAATTTTTCTCCCTCTCTCCCTCCTCCCCTTCCTAAAACGGTAAACAATTTGACATTGGTTATATATGTGTAATCATGTGAGACATTGTTCCATATTAGTCATGTTGTGAAAGAAGAAACAGATCAAAAGGAAAAAACTACAAAAAAAAAAGTAGGTGAAAAAAGTACACTTTGATCTGCATACTGAGTCCATTAATTCTTTATCTGGATGTGGATAGTATGTTGCATCATAAGTCCTTTGTAATTTTCTTGGATCATTGTGTTGCTGAGAAAAGCTACGTCATTTATGGTTGAACATCACACAGTGTTTCTATTGCTGTGTACAATGTTTTCCTGGTTCTGCTCATTTTACTTTGCATCAGTTCGTACAAGTCTTTCCAGCTTTTTCTGAAATATGCCTCTCATCATGAAATCTAGATCTTCTTGACACCATGTGCAGTAGACTTTTCTCTATACCATGCTAAGGAAGCTTACTTTACACAGAAGAGAAGTTCAGGTGAAAATTAATGCAAACCTAAACCATCCTGATATACAGAAAGAGTCATACTCTTGTTTCCATTTCAGCTGTAAACGTCAGGTTCAGCTCTAGGAAATCTATACACTTTGAGCTCTGGAGTCTTTGTAACTTCCCTTTTACATTGAGGGTATCACCATCCTGCTAGCCTGGCTCACCACCCCAATGTCATCCTCAATTCCTCATTCACATTCATCCTACATATCCAGTTTGTTGTTGAATATTATCATTGCTACTCTCAAAATATTTCTGGTATATGTCCCCTTCTCTCTGCTCACATAAGCATGGCCCTGGTACAGGCTCTCATCATCTCACGCCTGGACTTCTGATTGGACTCTCTGCCTCAAGTCCTCTCTCCATTGTAATCCAAAGCTGCCAAAGTGATTTTCCAAAAGCTCTGGTCTGCTATCACATATCCCCTTACTTAATAAACTCCACGGATTCCCTATTACCTCCAGAATAAAATGTCAACTCCTTTTTTTGTTATTTAAAGCCTTTCCTACTTTGCTAATCTAATTTATCCTATTTCACGTACTCTGATCCAGTGACATTGACCTCCTAGGTGTTTCTCACACATGACACAGCGTTTGCATGAGCTGTCTCCCCTGCCTGAAATGTTCTGTTCCCTCGCCTTGGACTCTCAGTTTTCCCTGGCTTTCTTCAAGACTCCCTTTCTCCTGGAGACCTTTCTCAGTCTTCCCCAAAGCTAGTGCTTTTCCTCTAGGATAACCTCCCATTTACTCTGTAGCTTTCAAGTATGTTATTTACATATTGAATCTCTCATTAAAATGTGAGTTCCTTGAGGGCTGGCCCTGTCTTTATGTCATCGGGTGCTTAGCGCCCCGGGTGCCTGGAACACAGTATGTGCTTAACAAATGCTGATTGACTAATTAAAGTCTAACAAATCAAATATTCTCCCTGTGCCCTAGGGATCCCATGAACATGGGAGACAGGAATTTCTTTGGAGGTATCCTAGAGAAAGTCCACATCCACCTAAATAAGAGATCTGATTTATTATCCAAAGTGGGGGAAAAGTCCCTACCTTTAAGGATTTTACATTCTGGATCTCCATTTCCACATGTGCAAAATGGAGGGGAAGAGGGTTGGCTTAAGGTATCTTCCAGCTCTAAATTCTATGACCTTGGGGGCAGTTAGGTGGCACAATGGATAGAGCCTCGGGCTTGGGGTCAGGAGGACCTGAATTCAAATTCAGCCTCAGACACTTGACACTTATTAGCTGTGTGACCCTGAGTAAGTCACTTAACCCCATTGCCTCACCAAAAAGCAAAAGATGAACAAACAAAAAAATTCTATGACCTTCAACTTGATTGTCACCAACTCTTTGGAATGCCTAGCTCTCCCACAACAGCTGCCACTTTGATTGTTTGATCATCTGAGAGAGACATTGGCTCTTTGAATACTTCCTGCGTTACCGTTCTCCTTTGGCAGGAGAGAGAAGGATGCCGTGCACTTTAAACTCAACTAGTTAGCTACATACCATACTGAGGAAAGTGCTGGACTTTGAGGCATGAAGAATGGAGTTCAAATCTTGCATCAGACACTAACTGTAAGACTTCAGACAAGTCACTTACATCAGCTTCCTTTTCTCTTAGTGATGTAATGGGCTTTACAAACTTTAAATGCTTCAGCTGAGTATTAGATATTCTTTAGTTATTTTTTTTTCATTCCCTGCCTCACATTTACAGGCTAATAGGCAGGACATCCCATTCCAGCAGGATCACAAAGCCAAGTCCCAAGATGGAAAATAAACCCCAGAAGTCTATTCACAGAAGCCTTACTTGGGCTAACAATGTGTTTGCTTTTAGCATGATTCATTCATGTGTACTATGATTCACATAGTAGTGACAGAAAAGAAAGAAAGGGCATTGTTGAATTAGGATGAGGCACTGTGCATTAATGAAAAGGGCATTATAAGACTTCTGACAAGCTGGCTGCCTGAAGGCAGGTAGACCACTCACCTCCCATCTACCTACTCCAGTCAAAGCCCACTGTTGCCACCAGAATGAATGATGTTCAAGAAATCCAATGAGGAATTACAGAAAGTGATTCTCTTCACTCCAGAACCATACAACATTCAGCCAGAAGCTCATAGATAGCAGGAATGGGAATTTTGGCACCAAAAGTAGCACCAGGTAGGGTGGCTCCCCTGCACAAGAGATAGGACATGTGTAACCTTCTCCGTGTCCCTAGGCAGGAAGAGTGACCTCTGAGAAAGCTCCAGGGTGGTTAGAAAGCTTCAGATAAGGAAACCAGAATCCCAGAGGCTCAGATCCCTAACACTTTGTCTCTGGACACCAAAGGAGACAATTTCAGAGAATCACGAGTAGAATTAACAGATGCAAAGTGAAGTGAGCAGAATCAGCAGAACAATTTATACAAGAACATCAACACTACAAAAAACAAACAAACAACTGAAAGACTTAAATACTGAGAGAGATGATTTTATTTAGGTCCCTATTTTATTCCAATCAGTATTAATCAATTCAGTGTGATTCCATAGGGGTAGTAATTGTTAGCAATTATTAATGATATACTCATCTAGTAATATACATTTGGTCAGTTTAGTTAACTAATATTAACATAGGAATTACATATATTAATACATATTTTATATGTATCTAGGGATAATTAGGTAAGATAGATTCTTTCTTATAATAGGCCTCAA